AAAAAAAAAAAAAAGGTGAAGTAATTTGCCCAGGCTACATGGAAATAGAGCAGGAATATGCGCCCATGTCTGTTTGACTCTAAAGCTTAGGGTTTCTCAGTAGAAAGAGGAATAAAAGAAGGTGCTCCATAAGAATTCTTTTAATATTAAAATATTAAATAATATATACATAATTTTTATATAGGTATATACATGTATATTTGTATACAATATGCAGTAAATGTTCAATTATTTGGATTTATATTGTAATTATTTATTATTTTAAGCCTATACCTTGAGGCAATTTTGGTACAAATGCACAATTTTATACAAATCTAATGGATAAACAGTAAAACCTTCCGGGCACTAGTATATTTTCTTTTTCTTTTTTAATTGAAGTGTAGTTGATGTACAACATTAAATAATTTACAGGTGTACAGTATAGTGATTCATAATTTTTAAAGGTTAGCCTCCATTTATAGTTATTATAAAATATTGGCTATATTCCCTCTGTTGTACAATACAGTATATTATTTTCAAAACAAAACTTACCAAAGGGGATAATGCTTATCTTCACTTTTGCCAAACACAACTTCACGGAGATGTTCGTAAGTGACCATTCGACCTCCAGAGTACACTGTGCAAGACAGAGCATTGAAAGGGTGAATCTGGCCCTGTGTTTAATAAAATAAGAGGATGCTTTGACATGGCCTGGTCAACCTCTCTAGCTGTGTCTTTCTCTGACACACCCGAGGCTTTGGACACCTGGTCTTGATGGTTCTCCAAATGGGCATGCCTTTTAAAACCTCAGGCCTTCTCCTGTGTTATCTGATCTTTCTTGAATGGATTCTCCCTTTCCTGACTTGCTAACTCCTCCTATTCTTTCAAAACTCAACTCAAAGAACATGTTTTCCAAAAAGTGCCCTCTGACCTGGCCTCCAGTGTTCTAGGCTGTCATTGCACCTGCCATGCTTCTCTGATCCCCCAGAACTATCCAGGCATGTGTCTAATACGGCATTTATCATCCTGATTAGAAATTAACTTGATTTTCTTGTTCATCTTTCCATCAGACCATGAGCCTTTCAAGGCGGGTTTTGTGTCTTTTCATTACACTATATGCCCTAGTACAGAGCTTGGTACACAGCAGGCATTTTCACTCAATAAACATGCACAACTTCATTGGATAATTTATTATGTTAAGGTAATTTTTCAGTCAAGTGTCAAACATATGAAATGAATCTTAACTGTAAAACCACAGATGGTGGTCAACAAAATACAAATGAAAAGAAGGAAAACTCAAGACGATAATGGGAAGCAAGGAGAAACTATCAAAAAAAAAAAAAGAATAAAAAAGAAAAATTGTGAAAATCAGTACATGGTACTCATATAGAGAGCTTTTCTTGATATCTGAAGACGTTTAATGCAGTATTTTAAGATATTCAAAAACATACAAAGCACCAAAACAATAACAGTCTAATCACACTTCTGGACAGTTCTTGGTGAATACACTCTAACCTGCTCATCTGGGGAACTGAAGCTTTAACAACACAAAGCTGGTAAACATTAGTACTGGGCACTTTTCTGATCAAGGGTCCCTACAGATTTGAGGAATGATTATGATTAGAGAAGAAAAACGCCATACCCGTCCTATCTCCTTTTGAAGGCAAGTTTATTCTCCTGTCCACAAGCTGCAAACTCAGCAACTCCTATCTATGTGAGTGCCCCTTTGGAAGCAGAGCAGAAAAGTGTTCTCATTGGCAGCAGTGTAATTTCAACTACTTTCCTTTCAGAGTGACTAAGGACCCACATAGCTAGCCTGGGAACTGAGGAAAAAATCACCTGTGTTGCATTTACTCTATTGCCAAGGTTGGATTAGACAGTCATCCCTGTTCACTTTCAGATCAACCTGGCCTCTGACACATGGGACAGAGAGTGGTGAGGCATTGCACTCAAATATAGTTTAACTTTCACAGAATGTAAAAAAAATATTTTTAATTTTGTGTTTAAAGTTCCTCAAGTGGAAAAAAAATCAACTATTCATCTTTTTCTTTCTTAAACTTAAATAAAAAACATTTTTATTAGGAAGATCTTCAAGCATACAGAAGAGTAGAGAAAAATCATACAATTCCCTATATATCTATCATGGAGATTGATCAATTGCTAACATTTTCACCATATTTGCTTCTTTTTGTTTTGTTTTGTTTTTGCTTATTTTCAATTACATTAGAGACATCATGACATCATGACAGTTCATCCCTAAATACTTCTGTATGCATTTCTAAAACCCTAAGGCTATAATTCCTTAATAACCTTATATTCATTTATCATATTAGCAGAAGAAAACTAGCTGGCTTTTGAACACAGCTCAACAGGAAAGCAGAGGAGACAAACACAGAACTCGTGACAAACTCACCAGCTAGAATCAAGATAAATACCTATGTGTCTGTAAATGGCAGGTGTCACTCCTTGCCAGAGCTTTAGAAAGCCTTCCTCTTGGACAATCCCCAGGGCCGTGCGCACCATGCCCCTATAGGGAGCAGACTCTCTTGCACCGTCTCCCAACCGAGCAAGGGCAGCTTCTCCTTGTATCTGGAGTCGAGTTTTTGTGAGATCGAGGGGAAAGGTTGCTAACAACAACAACAAAAACAAAACGAGGGGGAAACCCATAACATTCAGAGAAACGAACAAAATTTTTTTAAAAATCACAGGACCCATATTTTAGTCAGCACAAGATGGGTGATTCTCAAATTTCAGAATACATCAGAATCAGCCAGGGAGGTTGTTAAAAATTACACATTTCCTAGCCCCACGCCTATGGAGTCTCAGTAGGTTGATGGGGTTTAGACATCAGTTGATTCTTATACACTCCCAAATTTGAGAATCACTGTCCCAGAGCAGCCCCAGAGCACCAGAAAGAAAACAAAAAGTGACAAGCCCTTGGGTTCTTTTTCAGTCAGAAATTTCAGTCCAAAACCTACTTTATCCTTAATGTTTGCCTTCCAATGTGAATAATTTCCAGTATCCATTGCCTGTGATGTGCCCTGGACTGCAACCATGATTAAGAGCCAATGTGACTTTTAGAATACTGTACTACTTATGACAGGTCCTTAATAAATGCCAGATGAAGCTGAATTCTGTCATTTCGTGGGTGATGTTTGCACGTAGATGAATCACTGACCTGATGTCTGAGAAAGAGAAGATGCAACATAGGGTTTATCGTGTCTTTTGTATCAAAGGGTGGCAGGCTCAGTATTCTTTCAATTAAGGAATACATTGAGTTGGTTTTCCAGCACTGATGAGTTTTATGCATGGCTTCCTTACAAATACCACCTGTACATGAAAACTTTTTCCCTAAAGGGAATTAGAGATAGACCTTTCACCTGGAAACAGAGTGAAGCTAACTGTCTCACATAAGGAAGATCAAGCTCATAACTTTATACACACAATGATTCAGATAAGTTCATTAACATAAGTGACATTACATAAGTCTTTTCAGTGACCACCACCTGATACAAAACCATAGCTATGCCTTTTCCAAGAGAACACAGAGATGGGGGAAGAGAATATTCAGTCTTAACCACTGGTCTTTGGAAAAGTTAATTATCTTGCTGTTAGTTTTTCTAAAACACAAGTTGTGTGCATATAGAGAATTTAAGCAATCCTCTGTTGACATATGAAAACTGAAAAGTCTTAAGATATAGGCACCTCTATATTAGCATAGGCTATGCCTCTTAAAATCATTTTGGTTTTCTTGCTCGTTACTTAAATAATGCTTCAGGTTCTGATCCTAAATCATTTTGTACTCAAAACCATCTCATATTTTGATTCCCCTTCCCCCATACAATTCTCCATGAAATTTTAACAGGAGGAATGTTCCTTTACAAAAGCCATTGGTCACAGGGGGAACATCAGGTTAAAAACAAAACAAAACAAAACAAAACCGGAAACATACCTAATCATTTAGCAATCTGCTTTTAAAATTTGTTTAAGTTAATGAATTGTATTTCAGTAAAAACAGTGAATAATAAAAATTTGCCATCAGCTTTGGGAGAAGAGAAAGAAAAAAAAACAAAGGGTCCAAAGGGCAAGAGTGGAGGGGCACTAAGGGCAAACAACAGTTCATGTTCTGGCTCTGCTGGAAATACAAAGTACACTCATTTTAGAACAGGACAAACTAACATTTACACATCCAAGCTATTCCTTTTTTAAAAATTTTTTTAAATGGGCAAGAAAATGAAAGCGTAATCTTAAAATGCACAGTGAAGGCAGGGAAAACACAGGCACTCTAGTCACAAAATTCTTGGAAGAAACACGACCTGTTCTTGCAAGGGCATCATAGTTCTGCTCTAGGTAGCCCCTTAAGTTTTCTCTGACTTGCTTATGCAGATGTAACTGTTCATCCTCTCTGCTCTTATGATACTTAATAACAGCTTCATTATAACAAGTAGCATAATGTAATTGTCTGTCTCTGCATGTCTCCCCACCAGCCTGTAAGAAGGTCAGGGCTGGGTCTTCTGAACTATATCTCTACAGTCTCCAGCACTGTCATAATAATGTTGCAATTAGCGGTTGCCTTGCCTTGGGTTTAACGTTTATATATTATTAACTTCTCAGAGTCCTGCAAGGTAAACACAGTATAGATGAGTTCCACGCAACGAGGTCAACTGGCAGATGCTGAGTGGATGCTCAGTAAGTGATGGGTAACGAACTTAAGTCCCACAGGTTGGGTTCACAACTTGGACCCACAACACAACGATATAGTGAGGCTGCGTAAGAATATAAATAACAGAGATGACCTCAATAAAGATGAAAAGTGGACTGGGTTTTAAAAAGGGCATCCTCACGAAAGAGAAAATGATCCCTATAGAGGAATGACAGCTCAGGAAGCTTCTAAAAGGACACATTCAGGCGCAATAGCACACCCGAGGGAGACGAAATTGGAAGGAAGAGACGTTCGTGACCTCCAATTCCTCCTCCTTACAAGGTTGGCCCTGCCCCCACCCTGCCACACCTGCAGGACAGGTGTGGACCAAAAGGGCTGCATCCACCCAGAAACGAAGCCACCCGCCCGGCCCCCCACCCCCGCGCGACCCCTCGACGACTCGCGGGGGAGGCCCAGGCTGGACGGCCGGGTACCTAGCTCGGCCACGGTGGCCGCGCAGCCCGACAGGAGGAACTTGCTCGCGCGGGGCCATCTCTGGGCGAGGGGCGAGAGCCTCTCCTCATCCTCCGGAGTCGACATTCAGCAGCAGCACGGGAGGACGATACGCCCCTTCTGGCCCGCGCCCCGCGCCGCGGCTGGCCTGCCACCTGGCCAGAGCGGCTCCTCCTCAACCGGCGAGCGGCGGGGCGGGGACCATTTCCCTTGCTCGGCTCCGCCAGATGGGCCCACCGAACCTGCACCCTCTCCCTAGCAGCCTCCGGCTTCAGCAGCCTAGTGGGGTGAAATCGGAAAACAACGCGAAGCCCGCGAGGCTTCTGGGAGATGTAGTCCGCGTGGCCCCGCCCCTCCTGGACCGAGTTCTCTGATTGGTCGCGGACGAGCCGCCCGCCGCGCCACCAGCCCCGGTCTCCATGGCAACAGCGCCACTGCTCTTCCTCCACCCCCTGCACCCACACCAGCAGGATCCAGCCCCTTTCTTCCTTCCCGCGTGGCCAGAACTGAAAGAAAAGTGGACGTAGGAGGGAGTGATGATGCAAAAGTTACCCAAAAATTGGGGCGGGGAAAGGAGGCTACAGTTAGGAAGGCGAACAAGCTGCAAAAGGAACCCGGAAAGTTGGGAGGTCGGGAGGGTGCCCTGTTCCGGGGGAAGGAGCAAGTACCACAGCAGCGAGACTTTTCCCTTCTCTGATTCAGGAAGGTGCTAGACAAAAACATGGAATTCATTTCCCCAACAGTGGTTATAATCTTAGGTTGTGTTGTTCTTTTATTATTTCTTCAGTGGAAGAACTTGCGTGGACCCCCGTGCATAGGGGGCTGGATTCCTTGGATTGGAGCTGGACTTGAGTTTGGAAAAACCCCTCTAGAATTTATAGAGAAAGCAAGAATCAAGGTATGTGACCTTAGCAGGTGGGGTTTCCGGAAGAGGTAATGTTTTCTTTTTTATTTTCTTTCATTGTATCTCAAGTGCAGTGTTAGAACATGGGGAACCTACCTGCTGACCACAATTAAACGATCTAGCCACTTATGAATTCCTCAACAATCAACAACTGTGTCTTATGCAAGGTTTTTCGAAAGAAATAGATTTTCATCAGTTATAAAGTACAAGCCAGCTTGTAACTGCCTTTTTGGAAGTAGAGATTAAAAGCGCTAGTTACTTCATCGTAGCTAAAAAATCCTAAGTGTATACGTATTAACTAAATGGTTGCAATAATTGGGAAGACAGAAGCGTAATACAAGTAATTTCAATTTGCTTAACAAATTCGTATCCAAATCAAGAGTTAACACCAGGCTATTGTAAAAACTGCTTGCAAATTCGGTCTTTACAAACATAGTGGACACTGTATTTTCAGCTGGTGTTGTTATTTGGTGATAACATTTTCACTGCCCACTAAGGATATTAGTAATTGTTGTTGCAGTACATATTTTTGTCTTTAAAATAGCTTTTAAATATATCTTTCAAAAATAGTACATAGGTTACTGCTACTTTTTTTCTTTATTTCAATGGACATTCTTGTGTGTATGCTCCTGTGTGTGTTTGTACTTTTTGCACTTACCTGATTGTTTCATCACAATAACTTCCTAAAAGTGAAATTGCCCAAAGGACATTAAATTGTTTATATTATTATGTTACTCTTGCAAAAGGATGTATGAATCCTTTTTCCTTTTCTTTTCCTTTTTCTTTTCCTTTGAGTGTAGGGGATTACCTTGCTCTTCATATCCTGGACCACATAAGTACCATAATTCTTGCTAGTCTGATAGATGAAAAATAATATCTTTCTTTTTTAGAAGTCTCTAACCATTCTTTATTTTTCAATACTCACACAATTTATACTCAAGATTGTATTTTTGAAGATCTTAGGGAAAAATATTATCTTTTAAAGAAATACTTCTTTGTCTCCCATAGCCTTCCTTAGGTATATGATTTTGATAAGTCTTAAGGAATGTTTCTAAAAGCTTGTCTCAGAAGGTCAAGCAAGGTCACAAAGATTATTCTGTTTTCTTCTAAAAGGTTTATAGTTTTGCATTTAACATTTAGGTCTGTGATCCACTTAGAGTTAGTTTTTTTGTAAGGTCTACATAAGGGTTGAGTTTCAATTGGACCTCTGGATGTCCAATTGTTCTAGTATAATTTCTTGAAGGACTTTCCTCATTGAGTTGCCTTTGCAGCTTTTCAAAGATTAACTGACCATATATGTGTAGATCTATGTCTAGCCTTTCTATCCTATTCCATTGATTTGTATGTCCACTCCTTTGTTAATACTGCACTGTCTTAAATAGTACAGCTTTATAGTAAATCTTTAAATCAGGTGGCAAAAGTTCATGATTTTTGGCACTGATGTGGCATTCAAGATCATTTGCATTTTAATATAAATTTTAGAGTTGGCTTGCCAACATCTATAATAAAGACTGTTAGAAGAATGTTTGGAAGTTTGTTAAGTCTATGGAAAAATTGAGGGAGAATTGACTTTTTAATGATATTATGCCTTCTAATCTGCGAATGCTGTATACCTCTCCCGTTTATTTAGCTATATAATTTCTTTTAGAAATATTCTGTAGTTTTCAGTGATGGGGTCTTGCCTGTGATTGTTAATTATTTTCTGAAATATTTTATATTCTTGAGGCTATTGTAGATACAATTGTTTTCACTTTTGTTTTCCAGTGGTATCCCTCTGGCACATAAAAGACACAATTGTTTTTGTATATTAACTTTGTATCCTGTGATCTTGCCAAATTCACTTATTAGTTCCAATAGTTACTTTGTAGATTTCTTAGGATTTTTATACATACAAAATATGTCCTACAAACAGATAAATTTATTTCCTGTTTTCTGATCTTTATGCCTTTTATTTCTTCTTTCTTGCATAAATAAAGAGGGACTTCTAATATATTGTTAAATAAAGTGGTGTGCATAGACAAGCTTGTCTTCTTCCTAATATCCAGGGAAAAGTGTTCAATGTTTCACCATTAAGTTTCTTATTATCTGTAGATTTTTTCACAGGTGCCTATTTCAGTCCTGACCTCGATCGATACTCAGAATTCACAGATGCCACCAGGGAAATAAATCATGACCTATTGTCTGTTCACTTCTACACACTTCTCTGTGGAGTTTTAGTCCATTTAGTTCTTATTGTTTCCCCAACTCTCTGATGCCTTTAAAAATATGATCTTTGTAATCTATCCCTCTTTTATCTCATCCTACACAGAAACAGAAGCATCTGCATGTTTTAAAAGCTGCAAAATATTCCCTGAATCATATTTCACTTAAACAGTCACCTAATGATTGACATGGTTTGTTTTCCATATTTTACTATTGTAAATAATGTAACAACAAATGTCATTTCTATGTGTGCAAGTAAATCTGTGGAGTAAATTATCAGATTCAAAGTGTAAATGTATTTTTTAATTTAATTTTTATTTTATATTAGAGTATAGTTAATTTACAATGTTGTGTTAGTTTCAGGTGTACAGCAAAGTGATTCAGTTATACATATGCATATATCCATTCCTTTTTAGATTCTTTTCCCATGTAGGTTATTACAGATTATTGAGAATACGTTTGTAACTTAGAGGGAAATGGGAAACTTTGTGAGTGTTTTGAGCAGAGGAGTGATGTGATGTGATTTAAATTTTAAAGGGTCATTTTGGGCAGTCTGTTAAAAACAGGAACATAAAACTAAAAGAAAGAAGATAATTCGAAGGTTTTGGCAAGAATTCAAGCTTGAGATCTTGGTGGCTTGTACCATGGTGATAGCAGTGGAAGTTTGAGAAGTGGCTGGATCTGTTTTGAAGGTGGAAGCAGTAGGATTTACTGGTGGATGGAATGTTGTGTGTGAAAGAATGAAAAGGGGCAAAGGTGGCTCCCAGAAGTTAGACTTGAGAAACTAGAACATGGACTCACTATCAAGTGAGATGATCAAGATTGCCTACAATGTGGCCCGAGGGCCTATATGTATTACCAAAAGCCACTTTCCTAATGGAAAGTTAAGAATTCTCATTTGAACAAACCTTCAACGATGAACATGACTCATCTTCTTCTAAGTATTGATTAATAAACAATACTAGGTAGGGAATATTGGGAAGCAATGTAGATGTCTGGATCACTAATGGAAGAAAATGAGACGTCACTATTTGGGGGAATCAGTGATTATTGGGCCCACAGTTGCCTGATGGCATCCAATACTATCACGTGCCATTTCATGCAGATCTGGAAATGACTGTAATCTTGAAGTACTGATGAGCCTAAATGATATTTGGAGAGATTTATAATAACTGTAATGGGATATAAAAGTACGGGTGGTTTTTCCAAAAATGTACGTGTTGGATGTGGTCTGGGAAAGTCAGTACAGCCATAGGAGGAAATGAGAATGAGACTTGGAAGGAGGAAGGTTATTATACTCACAGGTCCAAGGCGGGGGTCACTGCACGCCATGCAGGGCCACTGGGGAAAGCACCCTGTCAGGAGGCAGAAGATGGGAGCAAGAGAAAGCCCTGCCCAGAGCCTTTATTGGGGTTTGCTCAGGAAAGGCAAGACAAGGCAGGGTAAACAATTTAGGATTGACTAGTTTGAATAACTTCTGAGGGCTTTGGGCTATAAGGTTGGTCTCCGGGTGCCTAGTGCCTCGCCCTGGGATGATTTAGGGCAAGGATAATATGGGCTTGGCGTGTGAGAGTTAGATCAGGGGGTGGTTGGGGACACAGACTCAAGATGGGTTGGTTTCCCTATGAAAGGCATGCTCCTGGATGGCTGAGTCCTTTGCTCTCTCTAAAAACTGGCTAGCCCTGGGAGGGTTGTCTCTACCTAGTAGTGAGGCCACCAAAGCTGAGCATCAAGAATAAGAAAAGATAGCTAATGTAATTGGCCCTATGACAGATGGATGCCAAATAGACACCAAATCTAAGAAAGTACAATTGAAACAGTAGGTTCTTTTGAGCAGAGTCGTGGGGAAGATTGTGGTGTATTGCCTCCATTCATAATTAAAGAAAATGTTAAATTATAATCAGAGGCCAGTGAAAATAATGATATATTTTTCTCCAAATAAAGTCATGGACTCCCTAAAACCAAACCAAACTCTGCACTGGAGGATGACTGTAGGTTCCTAGGAGGGATCTGATAGAAAAGGCAAAACTGATGGTGTACGAGAGAGAAGGCGTACACATAGAACAAAGAGAGAGTGTGGAACCCATAACACAAGTGAAGGAGGGTGGGCATTTCCCAGGGGCAGGACCCTCCACCTGTGTTAACTCAAGGGGAGGCATGGAGAGCGGGTACAAATGGGTACAATTGTCTGCAAGCTCTGGTGGTGAGAAGCTGACAGTGCTCATTTTCCCAGTGAGTTCCAAAGCAGGAACACCCTCTCAGAGTGGAGAGGGTTGGGCTAGGTGAACAGGTGAGTCATTTTGGAAAGTGAGAAAGTGAGCACATTACAGAAATTTGGGGATTGCGGGACATTGTTGAGTGACTACAGACTGAAGGTGAAATCAGTCAGCAGTTTATCTTTTTCTTGAACCAAGTTCAACCATAGGTTGTTTCTAACCCTCCTGATATCTTGAAAACAGTGCTCAAATATCACGGTGTTTGATATAATTTCCAATCATTATTTCTAATTATTATTTCTACTACCAGAAAGGAAGGTACAAGCAAATAATAGCACTATCAAAAGGAAGGTTAAATATTACAACAGAATAAATTGGGATTTTTATAATTTAGATTTTGCTCAGTCAAAATTTATAATTATTATATATAATCATAATAGTTTTTATCTTGACCGTGAATTCAGCATTGGGGCTCTTGAGGAACACTGTCTTAAGCATAACCCATGGTCCAGTAACTTATTTATTAGAAATGCTTACTAATATGATCTGTATTTATGTGTTTTCTTTCAGTATGGACCGATATTTACAATCGTCGCTATGGGCACCCGAATGACCTTTGTTACTGAAGAAGAGGGAATTAATGTGTTTCTAAAATCCAAAGAAGTAAATTTTGAACTAGCAGTGCAAAATCCCGTCTATCGTACAGGTAAACAGTATTTTCAGATAGTTCATTTGAAATACAACATGGAATCCAAGAGCAGTTTTAGGTAACAATCACATCTTCACTCTGTCAAGAATGAGGCAGGCCCATTATTTTGTTCTTTAGAGTAGGGATAGAAGAGAGTATGTGATGAATTTGGCCCTTGTAGAACAAATTATTGGCAACCTAAAACATTTGGATCTCCATTAGATATGTGTAAGAGATGAGGTCACCTCACTGATGTTTACTTGGGAAAATATTGGCATCTGCAGCCTGTTGCAGCTCCCAAACTGTCACTAACTCTGCTCTGCCGCTGTGTATACAACGTTCTACAGGCTATAGCTCTTGGCTTTATCTCATGTTGCTACTCTGCTCCTTGAAAGTAGAACTGCACTGCTTAGTAAGCCCTTTACTATGGCATTTCCTGACATAGTCCACAGGGTTATTGAGGTAAGTGGGGCTCAGCTTCATATAATTGGTGCCCTTTCTTTCCCCATCCTCAGAGACTGCTGGACTGAATTTGTCAGCATGCTTCCAGTGTGACTGTCTGCCTTTCTTTCTTTCGTTTCTTTTTTTTAAAATAAATTTATTTATTTTATTTGTCTTATTTTTGGCTGTGTTGGGTCTTCGTTGCTGTGTGTGGGGTTTTCTCTAGCTGCGGTGAGTGGGGGCCATTCTTCGTTGTGGTGCACAGGCTTCTCATTGTGGTGGCTTCTCTTGTTGCGGAGCACGGGCTCTAGGCACACGGGCTCAGTAGTTGTGGCTCACGGGCTCTAGAGTGCAGGCCCAGTAGTTGTGGCACATGGGCTTAGCTGCTCTGTGGCATGTGGGATCTTCCTGGACCAGGGCTCGAACCCGTGTCACCTGCATTGGCAGGCAAACTCAACCACTGCGCCACCAGGGAAGCCCGTGTCTGCCTTTATTTCTTCCCAGGCTGCAGACATACATGCTGAGGCCATTTGTCCTCCCAAGAATGCAGAGCTGGTTCATTTTGTGCCTGGTTCTTTTCTCTGCTTTCACAATGTCTGTGCTTGCTTCTACCGTCTTTTTTCTCCTTGCTTCCCTTTTTGTATCTTTCTTAGGTTCATTTTCATATAGCTTCTTCTTATGCATTTCTTGCCATTAAGACAAAAAAGTTTGTTTTCAAGGCTGTCAGTTGATCAGTAGCATGATTATTGTTTCTTGTTGCTTGCACGAAAAATCACAACATGCTGGTTCAATGTTTTTGACTCTTTGATGCTTCTTGATATTTAGACTATGGAATTCCAGATCAAAGAAATACAAATATTTTGAAGACTCTTGATCTGTAAATTCACATATTCCTTGAGAAAAATATACCAACCTACTCACCTATCATAGGTGTATTGAAGTGATCACATTTTTTCACCTCTGCCTCCCCTGGGGACTTGCATGCTTAAATATTTCTATTTAACAGATGAAATATCTTAATATTTACTCTTGAGCCAGCTTCCCATTCCTTTCAATTATTCCCCTACCACGGAGACAATGCATGCTCAGGAAATCCACAAATTATTTTTCATTAACATACAAAATGTATCCTACATGTAATAGGATGATGAAATATAAAATTAAAAATTATTTTTTGGAAAACTTACTTTGAAGACAAAGAGGATTAAAGAAAAATATAAAGGAATAGTGTAATGAGTTTAAGAATTCATACTCTTGGGGCTTCCCTGGTGGTGCAGTGGTTGAGAGTCCGCCTGCCCACGCAGGGGACACGGGCTCGTGCCCCCGGTCTGGGAGGATCCCACATGCCGCGGAGCGGCTGGGCCCGTGAGCCGTGGCCGCTGGGCCTGCACGTCCGGAGCTTGTGCTCCGCAGCGGGAGAGGCTGAAGCAGTGAGAGGCCCGCGTACCGCAAAAAAGAAAAAAAAAAAGTCATACTCTTAGCACCCAACCAGACCAGGTGTGAGTATCATGAAAGGAGCATGAACACTAAGATAAAGGAAACAGTGGGGCTAAAGCTATTGGGGTTAGGAAAGTCCTGCTGGTGGAGGTGATATTCAAGAAGACACTTGAAGGAGAGAAGTTAGCAGAAGAAATGTATGGCTTGTAGGTGTGGGGGGCGGGGGATAGGGGTGGGAGGGTGAGATCGGTCAAGTAGAGAACATTCTAAGCAGATAGAAGAGCTCATGAAAGTGCTGAGATGTATAAAAGAGTGTGTGTTTTCAGTATACCTGGGATATATGTTTGGAGGGAGAAAGGGCTAGCAATGTGATTGTAGAGCTGCAAAGAGGGTAGAACGCCTTGTAAACTTTGTTAAGGATGGGAAGCCAATGAAAAGTTTTAAGCATGGAAATAAAATCACTAGATTTGTGTTTCCCAGAGGCTTCCTTAATCACCCCCATACAAATCATCCCCTAAAGTGAATTACCCTACGGACTTTGACTATCTCACAGTCTGTGTTGGATCTTCACCTACTTTTATTTACAGGAGGTGATTCTATGTACTAGGTGAATTTTGGCTCTAGTCTCTGCTGATCAAGGAATGGAGAGGGAGGTCTACTGACTGTTTGCTTCAAGAAGTAGGTTTCATAATTCAAAGAGTCATGTACCACAATGTTCATTGCAGCTCTGTTTACAAGAACCAGGACATGGAAGCAACCTAAGTGTCCATCGACAGATGAATGGATAAAGAAGATGTGGCACATATATACAATGGAATATTACTCAGCCATAAAAAGAAATGAAATTGAGTTATTTGTAGTGAGGTGGATGGACCTAGAGTCTGTCATACAGAGTGAAGTAAGTCAGAAAGAGAAAAACAAATACCATATGCTAACACATATATATGGAATCTATTAAAAAAAAATGGTTCTGAAGAACCTAGGGGCAGGACAGGAATAAAGACGCAGATGTAGAGAATGGACTTGAGGATGCGGGGAGAGGGAAGGGTAAGCTGGGTCGAAGTGAGAGAGTGGCATGGACATATATACACTACCAAATGTAAAATAGATAGCTAGTGGGAAGCAGCTGCATAGCACAGGGAGATCAGCTCGGTGCTTTGTGACCACCTAGAGGGGTGGGATAGGGAGGGTGCGAGGGAGACGCAAGAGGGATTGGGTATGGAGATATATGTATACGTATAGCTGATTCAATTTATTATACAGCAGAAACTAACACAACATTGTAAAGCAATTATACTCCAATAAAGATGTTAAAAAAAAAAAAGAAGTGGTTGCTTCTTTTGAAAAGTGTTTTCTCTGTTTATAGCATCAATCCCAAAGAATATCTTTTTAAAACTGCATGAGAAACTTTATATCGTGGTGAAAGGGAAAATGGGGACTTTCAACCTATATCGATTCACTGGACAACTGACTGAAGAATTACACGAACAGCTGGAGAATTTAGGCCCTCGTGGGACCATGGACCTGAACAACTTAGTGAGGTAAATAGATGCCTTATTATTTAATTTTTTTTTTTTGGAATAAAAAAAATTTGAAGCCTAAACATTGGACTTCACAAATTTTCTGGTGGATTAATGAAGTCTATCTAGGTAGGTGATTAAAAGATGCTATTAATCTTTTAAATTCTGACTAATGGGCAGTTTTCAGTTAGCCCTTCAATTTGAAGTAAGCAATTAGGCCAATAGAATCATTTTAACACGTTTATAATAATTTCTCCCTGGTCATTCCTTACAATTTTGTACGTGCTACATGGATTTTCCTCATATAATTGTCATGCATCCAATTTTGATAAAACATTCAGTGCAATTTGTGATCATTAGAAGAAGAGGACATTGAGAGGAGAGGGAAGAGGATAGAATCAGAAAGTAGATGACAAGGGTCCAGGAGATGTCTGTGAGACTTGACAAGGTGGCTGAGGGAAAGCCACCATGAGCCTCGGGACTGAGCCCAGATCCTCTGAGAGGGGAGGTACTGAGAGGCAAGTGAGACAGGAGAGGACAGTGGGGGGAACCACGTAGCACTCAGCCATGTTCTGGAGCTTTCTGGCAAATGTAAGGGCTTAGCAGGGAGCTGTGAGAAGAATTCCCTGCACGTGCAGGATGATTTGGTAAATCGAAGTTACCCATGAGGCACTTTTCCATGTCAGTGGGATGCTGGAGGCATGACCAACTATCCAGACTCAAAAACACAGCAACATCGAATAGTTTGTTAGGGTTCCAGAAAGAGAGAGGAAAAGTAAAAACAAAAACAAGCAACCAATCAACCAAACTTTTAACATGCCCAATATCTACAACAAAACAAAGCAAATTCTTGAATGACTTTGAAACTTTGAGGGAAAGGAGATCCTGAGAAATTTCTGTGAGGAAATGATGGTGAATAAAAATGGAATAAACAATATTTAGTGTTACTAATCTGGGGCATATTAACAATCTCTGATATTCCCTTATTTAAGGACCCCGCAGAAATAATTTTATTCACCTGAGGGAAAACTTGCTGATGATAGATACTATATTTCAGTCTTTCAGTATAGTTCAAAGTTATAGGATCCTGGGAGATACTAGGAATTTGGTGACTAATATTGCCCTTGATTCTTTGTTTGGTTATTTTTGGCTGCTGTCTAAAGGTACGAACTGTATCTCAGTTATTGTTATTATTTGCTAAATAAATGCTTGTTGAAATCATATTGAATCGATCTCTCTCTGTGTGTCATCTCACATTTGTCAGGATTTAACAATACTTGCTTAGAAAGCATTTGAAAATCTTCAGATAAATAAGACCACAATTTCAGTTACCCCTAAGTTATCTTGAGCACAGAAAGCAAATATTAAAACCTCTTAAGAATGACTTCCCCCCCACAAAAAAAAATATATCACGTATGATTGTCTACCCCTAATATATAGCTATTCAATAATGCCTTCTTTTGTAACCTATGCCTTTCTTCTGTGGTCATTGGCTCTGATGTTTTATGTGTTTCTATCTTTGTAGGCATCTCCTTTACCCAGTCACAGTGAACGTGCTCTTTAAAAAAGGTCTGTTTCCCACAAATGAGAGGAAAATCAGGGAGTTCCATCAGCACTTTCAAGCTTATGATGAAGGTTTCGAATATGGGTCCCAGTTGCCAGAATGTCTCCTCAGGTAGAGTGTTGTTTTCTATGTTAATTCCCCGATCAAGCTCTTCTCAGCTGTTCATACAATTCTCTCCTTTCTTTGTTCTAAGTAGCTATAACAGCAGTTTAAGTGGAAGAGAGAGAAGCTATTTCTTATGACCAGTTTGGGTGTTGTGTGTGTGTGTGTGTGTGTGTGTGAACTGAGGGAGGAACTGAAGAAGAGAGATGGATTATTTCCTTTTATTCTCATTTTGAGGAAAAAAACAAGAAGGAGAGGGGAGAATATGAGAATGAAATGAAGAATCTATTTTGAGGCCTTTTATGCCATTTACAACTTATTATTATCACAGTCATTGCTACATCATCAAGTGTGACCCGTGTCAGAATCCGACGTCCTTATTCTCCCTGAGGCAGAAGTAGGTGTGGTCAAATGTATTTCTCACAGTTGGCTCAGATAAAAGTTTATAAAATGGTTTGATTGCAAAGTAACACATGATTTTTTAGTTTCTTGGCAGTTGGTCTGAAATGATGACTGGTCAGAAAAGATTAAAAAGCTTTTAGTCAGTTTGCTTTACCTCACTTAACCCAGCAGCGGGTCCCTGTGCTAGATTTTGATCCTGCTGTGACTGACAACAGCCAGAGCAAACTTAGACCAAGCAAATCATGAGCCCTGTTTTCTCTCTCTCTCTCTTTTTTTTTTCAATAAATTTACTTATTTATCTTTGGCTGTGTTGGGTCGTCGTTGCTGTGCATGGACTTTCTCTAGTTGCGGTGAGCAGGGGCTACTCTTTGTTGGGGTGTGTGGGCTTATTGCAGTGGATTCTCTTGTTGCGGAGCATGGGCTGTAGGCACGCAGGCTTCAGTAGTTGTGGCACGTGGGCTCAGTAGTTGTGGCACACGGGCTTAGTTGCTCCGAGGCATGTGGGATCTTCCCAGGCCAGGGCTCGAACCCATGTCCCCTGCATTGACAGGCGGTTCCTTAACTGCTGCGCCACCAGGGAAGTCCCCGAGCCGTGTTTTCTTATTCAATGCCGGCCCTTTTGGAATGCAAATGTTTATTTGCAAAAGATACTAAAATGTGGCTGCCTTGCCCCCTCAATTTTCCTTGTGGACTAATAAGTCTGAAGGTAGACTTCTCATGAAGTTCCAGCTGAAAATGAAGAAGACATTTGGAGAAATAATTAAAATTCCATAGACATAGTCCCTTTTCTGCTGTGACCTGTTACTCCTAGAGTGCTTTCAAATTAATTTATCCACATATTTTTTCTCACCTAGAAACTGGTCAAAATCCAAAAAGTGGCTTCTAGCACTTTTTGAGAAAAACATTCCAGATATAAAAACATGCAAATCTGCAAAAGATAATTCCCCGGTAAGTGTTCCTCCTTAGCTTTTTTTGCTAAAATACCTGAGATGAAAACAGTCATAAACTACGATTGTTAAAAAAATATTTTTGCTAAAAATCATGAGATGTGTTACATACGTACCATTTTTGTGCCAACCACTGTGTTGGATGTTTACATACGATATTTTATTATTGCATCCTCACAGCAGTGAGGGAGATATTAACCCTATTTTACATAAGAAAAAACTGAGGCTACAGACAACAAAGTAACACAACAGTCTGAGGGTTTTTTTAATGATTTATCAATTATACAGTTGGTTGTGTCAACAGTCACAGGTGGGAGTTATGGCAAATTAAACAAAGATAAGAACGCTCCACAAAGTTGACTTTTTTCTTGAGGCCACCACGGCTAATTGTTTCTCTCTTCAAATGCAACCAGGTAGTGTGGTATAATTTAAAAAGCAACGCACTGGGAGTCACTGTCCTAAGTGTCCTAGATCTGTGGTTCTCTACACATGGTCCCTAGACCAATGGTACCAACGTCGCCTGGGAAACCACTCAGGGCAAAACGCTGGGAGCCCAGCCATCTGGGATTTTATACACCTTCCAGATGGTTCTGATGATTGCTAATGAATGGTTCTCAGCCGTGTCCGCTCATTAGAATCTCTGAAAGCTTTTGAAAACTACCTGATTCTCCAGACTCACCGTCTGGAGATTCCTTTTGGCCTGGACTGCCTGGGCTCAAATCCAGTCACCATTGTGTGACCTTGGGCGTGGTACCTAACCTCTTGGCCTCAGTTTTGTGACCTTGGGCATGGTACCTAACCTCTTGGCCTCAGTTTTGTCATTCAGTGAGTTAATGTTTGTAAAGCACTTGAAACATAGTAAAGACCATGTAAGAGTTTATCATTGTTATCACGGAAGAAATCATTTCATATCTTTTAGCATTGAAAGATGATATCAAACATTTTTGTTTGTTTGCGTTTAGTTATGATAGCAAGTGTTATCACAAACAACTCTGCTTAACACTGGAGAGGAAGATCACCTTAGAAAAAAAGGAATGTGCGAATGTTTGGGGGTCTCCCTCTGGAATAAAGGGAATAGAAAGCTAGACTGGAATGCCCTTCGCTGACAAACTATGTTTCAGCTAAAGAATGTATTTTATAAATGGATCCAGACAAACACATTTTTGTTTGCATTACTTTCCAGGATTTAGAGGTAAAGCCGTGTGTGTATAAAAGCTGTACCCAAATAGATCTGTAATCTATGAGCCTAGAAAACAGGGGTTTTAATGCCCCAATTACAACTCCCCGCTGACAATACTTCTAGAATAGCATTTATTTTTCTTACTCTGAAGAAATGAGGCACTTTAATCATAGGTACTCGAACTCCCGCTTTGAATGACGACAAATTTTGACCTATGCTGACGCTAATTCAATGTTTATGACCGGGATAGAATTCAGTTTGAACACTCATGAGCTGCGTAACTTCGTTTTTTAAAAAATGTTTTGTTTCTGTTTTCCTGCTGCAGTGTTCACACAGAGTTTAAGTTTTTATACCCACAATTTTTTAAAAATGCAGGCTAAGAAGAAAATAAAAGATTCTGTTGTCTTTTACTACATAAGTCGATTTCAATGTCCTAGTTAAGCAAAGGACTGGAAGAAGTGTTTTGGTTTTTTGTTTTTTAAATATTATACACACATTTTGTCACATCATAACTTTATCACGTTTCAACATGAGTGACTTCTCCCATGTTATTCTAGATATAAATTAAACTAGTATTTCCATTTACAATTAAGACTGCACCACAGAATAACATATCAAAAGAATGAAATACATCTATAGGATTTTTCATGAAATATAAACTTTGTACCATAACAACTTGCATTGTAAGTCTGATAGAAACCAGGAGTAAATGAAAATTATACTTAAATTATTTTCAAATCTGCTAATCCATTATTACAGAAACAGTAACAATAAGACATCACTAACACTTATGGGGTACTTACTCTGTGCCAGGTGTAGCGTTAACACATTTCACAAATTCACTGCTCATTTCTTTTTCACAACAACTTTAGTACCTGGGAAACTGGGGATTATTAAAACCAGAAAGCTGGGGATCAGAGGGGTTAATCACTTTTGAAACACTACATGCCTCTGTAAGTAACAGCAACAGCCTCTTGTCATGTATTTTCTTTGAGAGTGATGTAACAGGTATTTTCTGTGTTGTAGGATCTGAAGAAAAACCACTGCATTCTGGTGCAGTGCAGTTCTCTGAGTCCCTAACCCATGAGAGTTAAGGACTGTGTCTCTAAGGGGCAGCATAGCCTAGTAGCTAAGATTGTGGGCACTGGAGCCAGGGCCAGCCTCACAGGATTTGAATCCCAGCTCAACCATTGACAAGCTGTATGTCACTAGCAAAGTTCCCTAACCTTATCGTGCTTCCATTTCCTCAAATGTAAAATGGTGACAATAACAGATCTGCTCCTTGGAGCTGGGGTGAGGAACGAATGCTTAAATACTTGTGAAGCCCTTAAACAGTACTTGCCTTCCAGAGCAGTGACTAGACTTTAGCTACCATTATTCCTATTACCTAACTTGAATTACTTAAGGTTCGAAGTGCACAAGTAACTTAATGAAAATGTTATAATGTCTGAATTTGTTCCTCGTGATGGGGATGACCATTGGCAAAGGCAAATCTGGGAAGCCTTCCAAGTAAGGAAATGCTTTCATGGAATTTGTGTGATGACTTGAGAGCAGCCATAGTAGGTGACCTTGGAGAGGCCCTGATCTGACCTGGCACCGTCCATGTCAAACGTCAGTTCTCTGCATGGTTTTAGAGTATTGCAATATTTATCATATACTGGTTTGGCAATTCCCTTACCCATGATATGTAGGCTGAGAATTTGCATAGCACATGGGGGTAGGGTTTTCTCCTGAATGCTCCAGAGATCTGTGTTTCTGTGTTGTTTGCATTTTCCTAAGAGCAGATGTTTATTAAAAAAAATAAATAAAAGAATAAAAAAATTTAAAGATAACATTCATCAAAATGGTAATGTGTACTAAGTTTTGTTTTAAGTACTTTATATGAAGTAACTCATTTAATTCTCACAACAATCCTGTGAGGTAGGGTCCATATTATGACCATTTTACAGATGAGGAAATTGAGACACAGAGAGCTTAAAGTACTTGCCCAAGGTTACCCAGCTATTGAAACCAGGTTCCCGTTCCACATGTAAGGATCTTGGAAGTTGCCACTTCATCCTCACACCAAGTAAAAAGCTTAACAGACAAAAATCAACAGTTCTTCTTGAAAGAGAGGACACAGAGCAACCTGCTGCCCCCAAGACTAGAGACCAACAGGCAAATACAGGGAGTTGACATTTCCCAGAGCACAGACCTGAGAGTGGAGACTGCCGTGGGGCCGGGGTAGGAAAACTCAAGCTGTAATTAATGAATTGCTAGAGGCTCAGTGCAGACAATTCTCAGAGTTCAAAACTCCAGGGGACCTGGGACCTGGCCATAGAGGGGCCTCCACAATACTATGAAACTTACCTCCAGGAGGTGGACCAGTGAAAAATCCCCTAGGGCTTCTGACAGGGGAAGGGGGAAAAGATCAAGTTTGAAATATGCCAGAGCACTCTGTTCTTAACCAGGCCTGCCCTCCGGGGAAAACAGTTAAACAGAACTTAACCTGCTGGAGGATTATCAGAGCCTAACTGACCTGGGGAAGAGGAGTGTCCAATTGCAGCCACCTCTAGCCATCCTGTCCCACCTAAGGAGGAAGAATAAGACTGAGAAACGCTTGTGAATTTTGCAGTCCAGAGGCACAGGCTCATGAAAAGACAGAGATCTAATCATAAGACTTGAATGCTTCCCCTCCCCTGACACCTAACCACCACATTACTGAAGACCTATTTATCACCATTCCTTTTACCCAGCACATGTCTAGCCATCAAGAAAAATTACAAGGCAAAAAGAAACCTCCACAATTTGAAGAGACAAAGCAAGCATCAGAACCATTCATGGCCGGGATGTTAGAATTAACAGATTGGGACTTTTAAAAAATATATGATTAATATGCTAATGACTCTAAATGATAAAGTAGGCAGCATGCAAAAACAGATGGACAATGTAAGCAGAGAGATGGAAATCCTAGGAAAGAACCAAAATGAAATGCTAGATAGAGATTAAAAAAAACCAAGTGACAGAAATGAAGAAAGCCTTTCATGGACTTATTAATAGACTGGACACAGCTGAAGAAAGAATCTCTGAGCTAGAGGAGATTCAGTCCTTGAAAACCAAAAAGCAAAGAGAACGAAGACATAAAAAACAAAAATAGAACAGAATATTCAAGGACTGGGAAAACTACCGAAGATGTAACATTCATGGAATGGGTGTACCAGAAAAAGAAGAAAGAGAGATGGGAACAGGAGAAATACTTGACACAATAATGACTGAGAATTTCTCCCAAATTAATGTCAGACACCAAACCACAGATCTTGGAAGCTCAGAGAACACCAATCAAGTAAACACCAAAAAAACTACACCTCAGCATATCATTTTTAAATTACAGAAAATCAAAGATTTTAAAAATCCTGAAAGAAGCCAGAGGGAGAAAAACAAACAAAAAAACAAAGAAAAAACCCACTATACCTATAGAAGAACAAAGATATGAATTACATCTGACTTGTCCTCAGAAATCATGCAAGCAAGAAGAGAGTGGAGTGAAATATTTAGTGTTGAGAGAGGAAAAAACATCAACCTAGGGCACTGTACTCTGTGAAATTATCCTTCAGAAGTGAAGGAGAAATAGAATCTTCTTCAGACAAACAAAAATTGAGGGAATTTTGTTGCCAGTAGACCTGCCTTATAAGAAATGCTAAAAGAAGTTATTCAGAGAGAAGGAAAATGATAGAGGTCAGAAACTCAGACCTCCATAAAGAAAGAAAGAGCACCAAAGAAGGAATAAGTAAAGGTGAAAAAGAAACTTATTTTTTCTATTCTTAATTGATCTAACAGTTCAAATTGATATCAACTTGATAACAGTTTATTCAGATAATAAAATAGCAACAGTATATTCAATTTTATATGCTTATATGTACATTATATGTATATACATGTGTGTATGTGTACTTATGTGTGCTTATGTATAAGTGAAATGAATGATGGAAATGATACAGGGACAGGAGGGAAGAATTAGGATTATTTTGTTACTAGAAGGTACTTACACTACCTGTGAAGTGGTACAGTATTATTTTAAAATGGACTTGGATTAGTTGTAAATGTATATTACAGACTCTAGGGCAACCACTAGTAAAAATTAAAATTGAAGTATAGCTTGATATGCTAAGAAAGGAGAGAAAATGGAATCATATAAAATGCTCAATTAAAATCACAAAAGGCAGGAACACGGTGGAATACAAAAATAAGAACAAAGAATAAGGGCAGCAAATAGAATACAGTAACAAATATGGTAGATACTAATCCTGCTATATCATTAATCACTTTGAATGTCAGTGGCCTAAATGCATGAATTAAAAGACAGAGATTGTCACAGTGGATCTAAAAACATAACCCAACTATATGTTGTCTACAAGAAACCCACTTTAAATATAAGGACACTTTATACTTAATATAGATTAAAAGTAAACAGATGTAGAAAAACATACCATGCTAACACCAATCAAAAGAAAGCAGGAGGAGCTATATTACTTTCAGACAGAGCAGACTTCAAAGGAAGGAAACTTATTAGGCATAATGAAGGACATTACATAATGACAATGAGGTCAGTCCTCCAAGAAGACTTAACAATTCTTAATGTGTATGTACCTAGCAACAGAGTGTCAAACTACATGAGACAAAAGCTGATGGAACTTCAAACAGAAATAGATGAATCTACTGTCACAGTTGGAGACTTCAACACCTCTCCCTCAGAAATGGACACATCCAACAGACAGAAATCAATAAGGACATAATTGAACTCAACACCACCATCAATCAACTGGATATAATTAATTAAGACTACTTAATCCAACAACGGCAGAATACATATTTTTTTCTCAAGCTTATATGGAATATTCACCAAAATAAACCACATTCTGGGCCATTCAACACACCTTAACAAATTTATAAGAATAGAAATCATATAATGTCTCTTCTCAGACCACAGTGGCATTAAACTAGAAATCAGTAACAGAAAGATAACTGGAAAATCCCAAAATACATGGAGATTAAACAACACATTTCTAAATAACACATGGATCAAAGAAGAATTCTCATGAGAAATTAAAATATGTTGAAACAAACTAAAATGAAAAAACAACCTATCAAAATTGTGGGAGGTAGTGAAAGCAATGCTTAGAAGGAAATTTATAGCTGGAGGTTGAAGCAATCACCAGTGGCCAATGATTTAATCAATCATACCTATGTATGAAGCTTTCATAAAAACCCAAAAGGACGGGGTTCAGAGAGCTTCTATGTTGATGAACACTTGGAGATTTGGGGAGAGTGGCATGCTTCAAGCAAGCACAAAAGTTCCTTGACCTTTACCCCTACCTTGCCCTACACATCTCTTCCAGCTACATGTTCATCTGTAGGCTTTATCGCATCCTTTTATAATAAACCAGTAATCTAATAAGTAAAATGTTTCTCTCAGTTCTGTGAGCAGCTCTAGCAAATTAATCAAATCTGAGGAGGGGGTTCATGGGAACCTCTGATTTATATAGCCAGTCAGTTAGAAGTACAGGTAACAACTTGGACTTGCAACTGGCATCTGAAATCCAAGGAGGGGGTCTGTGTAACTTCCAATCCTTAGCCAGTTAGTCAGAAGCACAGGCAATAACCTGGGCTTGCAACTGACATCTGAAGAGCAGGGCAAAGTCTTGTGGGACTAAACCCTTAGCCTGTGGAACATGATGCTATCTTTGGGTAAATAGTGTTATAATTGAGCTGAATTATAAGACACCCAACCCCCCTCACACACATTGGAAATTGGTACCAGAACCCCTTTAGCAAGGATGTCCCCTCCGACCACTCTTTTTCAACATAGTACTGGAAGTCCTTGCTAATGCAATAAGGCAAGAAAAGGAAATAAAAATTATACAGATTGAAAGGGAAGACACAAAACTGTCTTTGCTTGCAGATGATGTGAACATATGTAGAGAAAATCTAAAAGAATCAACCAAAAAACTACTGGAACTAATGAGTGATTTTAGCAAGGTTGTAGGATACCAAGTTAATACACAAAAGTTCATTGCTTTCCTACATGCCAACAATGAATAAGTGGAATGTGAAATTAAAAACACAATACCCTTTACATTAGCATTCCCCAAAATGAAATACTTACATATATATAAAACAAAACAAAATCTATATGAGGAAAACTGCACAACTACAAAACTCTGAGGAACAAAGTCAAAGAACTAAATAAATGGGGATATATTCCATGTTCATGGATAGGAAGACAATATTGTCAAGATGTCAGTTCTTCCCAACCTGATGTATAGATTCAATGCAATCCCCAATAAAAAACCCCAGCAAGTTATAACATTTTATGGATTCTAAAATTTATATGGAGAGGCAGAAGACCCAGAATCACCAACACAATGTTGAAGGAAAAGAACAAAGTTCCTCAAAGAAGTGATGCTATCCAACTTCGAGATTTACTGTAAAGCTTCAGTAATCAAGATAATGTGGTGCTGGCAAAAGAATAGACAAATAAATTAATGGAACAGAATAGAGAGCCCAGAAAGAGACCCCATTAAATATAGTCAACTGATCTTTGACAAAGGAGCAAAGGCAATATAATGAGAGAAAGATATATTGTGGACAGTCACATGCAAAAAACTTAGTTGATCTTGGGTGTGGCGATGCCTACTTAGATATAACACTAAAGACACAATTCATAAAAGAAACTATTAAGCTGGATTTCATTAAAATTAAACTGCTCTGTGAAAAGAACAATATCTGGAGAATTAGAAGACAAGTCACAAACTGAGAGAGAGTATTGGCAAAATAAAGGACTATTATCCAAAGTATACAAAGAACACTTAAAACTCAACAATAGGAAAACAAACAACCCAATGGAAAAACAGACCAAAAATAGACCTTAAGAGACACCTCACCCAAGAAGATATATAGATGGCAAATAAGCATATGAGAAGATGCTTCACATCACATGTCATCAGAGAAATGCAAATTAAAACAATGAGATACCACTACTCACCTATTACAATGGCCAGAATCTGGAACACAGACAATACCAAATGCTGACAAGGTTGTAGAACAACAGGAACTCTCATTCATTGCTGGTGGGAATGCAAAATGATATAGACTTTTTGGAGGTTTCTTACAAAATGAAACATACTCTTACCATACAGTCCAGCAATTGTGCTCCTTGTATTTGCACAAATGGTTTGAAAACTTACACCCACACGAAAACCTACATATGGATGTTTATAACAGCTTTATTCATAATTGCCAAAACTTGGATGCAACCAAGGTGCCCTTCAGTAGGTAAATGGGTAAATAAGCTATGGTACATCCAAAGAATAGAGTATTAGCGCTAAAAAGAAATGAGCTTTCAAGCCATGAGAAGACATGGAGGAACCATAAATGCCTATTACTAAGTGAAAGAAGCCAATATGAGAAGGCTACATACTGTATGATTCCAACTATGTGAAATTTTGGAAAAGGCAAAACTATGAAGAAAGTAAAAAGATCAGTGGTTGTTAGGGGGTGGGGAGAGATGAATAGGCAGAGCATAGAGGATTTTTTAGGGCTATGAAAATACTCTGTATGATATTATAATGATAATAGATATCATTATGCATTTGTCCAAACCCATAGAGTTTATAACACCAAGAGTGACTCCTAAGGTAAACTATGCACTTTAGATGACTATGATGTATCAAAGTCGTTTCTTCCTTGCTCAAAAATGTCCCATTCTGGTGAGTGATGTTGATAATGAGGAAGGCTATGCTTGGGTGGGGGTAAGGTTTGTATGGGAAATCTCTGTACTTTCCTCTCAATTTTCTTGTAAACCTAAAACCGCTCTAAAAAATAAAGTCTTAAAAAAATTAAGCCAGGATTTGAACCAATGCAGTAAGAGCATTGAACCCCCGAGTCCCTACTCCCAATTACTATACTACCAGTAAGTATGTAAATCCCTTAGCATGCCTGAAATCACAAACCTAAGAATGGCAAAAATAGTATCTTTCAGATTAAAGAAAAATGCATGATCTTTGTTTATTAACATCAGTCTTTGTCACATAGCTCTGGTTTGACAATATTTATTTCTTTTAAACAGACAGTAATGCAGGCTCTGCTGGATCTCCTAGAGATGGAAACAAATGAACAAAAGAGTCCCAATTATGGGCTCTTACTACTTTGGGCTTCTCTGTCCAATGCTGTCCCTGTAAGTATATTAGTAAAGGAAGGATTGCATTTCTGTCTACTGTACTTTCAGTTTTCCCCTTCATTTTTCTTTCTGTTTTTTTTTTTTTTAATTCTTTTCACTTCTTATCATGGGGAAGAAAAAGACTGTAATGAATTTGGTTGTAAGATAGAAAAACAAAACTGAATGCCTAAGGAAATCTAATAAGATCACAAAGGAGGCAAAGCAGAGATCTGAAGTGAATTCTGCCCTTTGAAAGGCAGTATGTAACAGGTGAAGGGAAACATTTGCACTTTGGGGTCAGTTGTGACAACACCTGTATATGCAGCACTTTCTGTACTTTCCACGTCAGGCAACATGCTTAGTATTGGTGCTGCAAAGATGAGTAAGTCTTGACCCCAGACATTTACTGGGGAGAGAGTAGGTAAACGGATAGTTCAGTTAGAATTGAACTTGAATCCAGGTATCCCAGCCATAGCCATAGAACCTCATGGAGGTAATGAACACTCTGAGCCTCCATTTCCTTATTGGTAAAAAAGGGATAATAAAACTCCTAGTATGGTCCTAGACTTGGGTACTTAATAAACGGTAACGCTCATTTCTCTGCAAGATTGTTGTAAGGATTTAGCGAGATAAGCCCAGCTGCCACCCAGTGATCATGAGTTCTTTGTCGACCCCTGAACCCATTCTCCTTCTATGCACCATTCCTGTTTGCATTGCTTGGCATCGTGGTCCTGTAAGCTTTCACATGAATGGAGCTGGTGACACTGGAACTCACGATACTTCTAAAGAGAGCAGAGATTTTTGAACTGTTTTTTTTTTTAAGCTGTTCTGAACTAGAATACAGCCATGAGATTTGTCTGGCACTTCATGTTCGATGCACAGCAGTTTCCTGCATCAGGAGGATTTCATATCAGCTTAAGCTGCACTTAAATTATTTGAGAGATTAAAGGGTAAACTTTTTATGTATTTGTTTTCTACTAAATAAGAACTTTCAACCTATCTATAATGATAAAGGTATTCATTTTTTCTTTTTTCTTCTAACAAATAGAAATAAGATGTGTTAAGTATTATTTGTTTCTCCTTCCTCTTATAAAGGTTGTAGAGGGCTTTCTAAGTACTGATATTCTAGTTGTCTTTAACCCATTGCAAACTAACTGGGTAACAGAGCAGAAATAGAAATTCTGGCTTCTCTGCTCAAATGTGTGTCAGCCACTAAAACACGTATTTCATCTGGCATGGGCAAATAAAAGTAGTCTAACCCTTTCCTCTTCTTTAGGTATCTCTAATATTATTCTCTGATTTTTCCTTATACAATTTTCTTGGAAACTGATTAAGCTAGAGCAAAATTAAAAGGCAAATATCAAAACAACTCCCAAAGCAGCAACAAAACAGCCACTCCTGTCACAGGATTAATTTTCAACATCTCATCAGAAAGGCCCCCCCCCCAGAAGAAAGGGACACAAAGCCGCATTGATCTGACTCAGGGGGAGTCAGATTTTTGGAATTTGTTCCTGGCACTGGTGTGAAAGAATTTAAATTAATTGCAGAAAGCATGTGTCTGATGATCAGCAGAAGTTCCATCTTGCTGGCTCTTGTTGGCACTTCTAAGAGGCAGCTGGTGTGTGGGCAGAGACCCTGGACTGGCTTTAGAGTCAGGTCCAAAGGCAGATCCCACGGCTGGGTGACAATGGGCCAAGTGTTTAACTGTGACCCTCAGTGTCCTTATCTGTAAAATAGCATGAATGTTATCTACCCCATAGGATACTATGAGGATTATATTTTTAAGAAGTGGAAAGTGGCTAACAGTCCCTGGCTCAATAAATGTTAGCTTTCTTTTCTTATAAAAAGTAACACCATGGTTTCAGTCATTTCTTTCAATGGCCCACTAATAATGAACTGCCTTGGCTTCCAAAACTTGACCTCTCAAATGCCCAAGGGTGGGAGTGGCCACTGCTGTCCTGGCTTCTGTGATCTTCCAAGGCGGCCAGGAGAGCTGCCAGAAGCCCTGCCAGGGGCCTGTGCTTTCCTGGTGCCTAGATCATTCTCTTCTCTTCTACTCTGTGCTCTGTCTCTAGGACCATGGAACTCAGAGCTCAGGCTTCAGACAGGCTTGGTACAAGGCACCAGGAAGCTCTGTTACGAGACCAAAGTCTAGGTGAACTTTGGTGGACTGGCCCAAGATATTAACCATGATTTATGAAATTATTTCTATGGGAAAACCATTTCCAAGTCCCAAGAAATTCCTGGCTGCCAAATGTACTTTTTAAGAACACTTTTCCAAACGAACCTCAAAGCTGACGTTTTATCTTTTTAATCTGCTTCTCTGAAGCTCTTTCTAAACACTTTCAGTAGTGACTTCCCCACCTCACTCTCAATTCCCACAGCATTTATTGGTTACTCTTTTATATGCCTTTCTTTTCTTTTTAAAAGAGTAATTTTTTAATTAAAAAATTTTAAGTAGAATATAATATAGAGTTTTAGAAGAGAGATCTGTTAAGAGGCATCAAACATAGTAACTAACACCATTGCACAACCATTTATAGTTTAACTGAATTCCTTGAGTTTGCTTTAAAATAAGGTATTACCCAATTTTAGTGAATCTCTAAAACTCTAATTAACCACGTAAAACTCTAAACCCCTCTTTTGTGTAACTGAAAAATCTATGTACTATCACTAAGATATATTTTTCCCCAACATGAACTCTTGAGTCTTTAAATAACGAGGTCCTACTGTATATCACAGGGAACTATATTCAATATCCTGTAATAAACCATAATGGAAAAGAATATGATAAAGAATATATATATATATATAACTAAATCACTTTGCTGTAGAGCAGAAATTAACACGTTATAAATCAACTAAGCTTCAATAAAGTAAGTTTAAAAAATGATGGATTGAGTATGGAGTGCTTATTAATTAAATCCAATAATTCAGCACTTCCATCTATAGAGAGTATAGAAGGGGCCCATGTGGGGAGACATGTTGAAGAGAGCTTTCTGAGCATGTTTCCTCTGTAAAAATGAACTAGTTGATCTCTAGGGTAAGCCTTTCCTAATCTGGAAAATGCCACAGAAAGTGGATCTTGGGATAGAGGCCTCAGTTCTCCCATTCACTTTGTTTATGTAAACAGCACCACGTTTATGCCCCCAGTATCAGTTTACTGTCACAAAGGGGAAAACAATGAGTAGTACTGAATTTGGCTTTGTCCAAGCACTTCCTTTCAGACCGTTGTTCTTCCTCTTTTGACCACAGAGGGGAGTATTGGGATCATTTAAAGGTGTTTAACAGTCCCTCACAAGAGACAGAAGGACTGAAGTAACAAACACAGTGTTGTCTGAGTCTTTTCAGGATTGGTTTTCCTAAGATGAAATTTCTTTCACAATATGTGTTTACAGAAAGCAGATGAAAGGGAACCCAATCTTCTTTTAATGATTTGATACGTTTCCTTTAATGTGTAACCTAAAAATAAAAGCAAAAATATATACCTGAATTAATGGAAAATTAATTTTGTTTAATTGAAGTGTAGTTTATTTACTGTATCGTGTTAGTTTCAGGTGCGCAGCAAAGTGATTCAGTATTTTTTCAGCTTATACGTCATTATAGGTTATTACAAGATAATGAGTATAATTTCCTGTGCTGTACAGTACATCCTTGTTGCTTACCTATCTTATACATAGTAGTTTGTATCTGTTAATCCCATACTCCTAATTTATCCTTCCCCCCTTCTCTCTCCTTTTGTTAACCACAATTTTGTCTTCTATATCTGTGAGTCTGTTTCTGTTTTGCGTGTACATTCATTTGTATTATTTTTTAGATTCCACATGTAAGTGGTATACAATATTTGCCTTTTTCTGTCTGACTTATTTCACTAAGCATCCACATGTGGGTCCATCCACATTGCTGCAAATGGCAGTATTTCATTCTTTTTTATGGCTGAGTAATAGTCCATTGTATATATGTACCACATCTTCTTAATCCAATCATCTGTTGATGGACACTTGAGTTGCTTCCATGTCTTGGCTACTATAAGTAGTGCTGCTGTGAACACTGGGGTACATGTATTTTTTTTTTGAATTAGTATTTTCATTTTTTCTGTATATATACCCAGGAATAAAATTGCTGGATCATATGGTAGTTCTATTTTTAGTTTTGCTTTTTTGTTGTTGTTTTTTTTTTTTTGGCGGTACGTGGGCCTCTCACTGTTGTGGCCTCTCCCGTTGCGGAGCACAGGCTACGGACGCGCAGGCGGCCCGACCCCGTGTCCCCTGCATTGGCAGGCGGACTCTCAACCACTGCGCCACCAGGGAAGCCCCATATTTTTAGTTTTTTAAGGAACCTCCATAATGTTTTCCTTAGTGGCTGCACCAATTTACATTCCCAGCAACAGTGCACAAAAGTTCCGTTTTCTCCACATCCTCACCAACATTTGTAATCTGTAGACTTTCTGATGACGGCCATTCTGACCGGTGTGAGGTGATACCTCACTATGGTTTTGATTTGCATTTCTCAAGTAATTAGAGATATTGAGCATCTCTTCATGTGCCTGTTAGCCATCTGTATGTCTTTGATGTTTAGCAGTGTAACTTTATCTTATAATACCACAATGAGGAAAGATATGAAATAATTTTGTTTGGTCTAGAGTAAGAACTTGCCAACATACTATGTTTAGTAATACCCTATAAACTTGCAAGCACCATTTTTCAATAGGGTATGAAAGGACCCTAGTTTTGATATAAGTACTCTCATAATTTAGTTGATAAGATTTTAGGTATAGTTTCTGGAGCTTATTTAAAATTACCATGTTTCATCTGCAGAATATATGATTTGCTAATTTATTTGTATTTCAAGGAATCAAATTTTGAAAAGTGCCTTTGTTTTGGACTAACATTCTTAAGTGTCATAATTTGTTGATCCTAAATTTCTAATATGTGCTTATATAATATTTTATGTTGTATATTAGTACAATAAAACACCCTGCTTTTCCCATTGTTTTTAGTGAAAATAGTTTACTCTATATAAACAATATTGTGAAACTATAGTGGCAGAATAAAATCATAAATTTGACCCCTTAGAGATATGTAACATCTCTTTTGCTCATAAAATCTAGTTGTTTTCAAAGATACTCTTTACTAACATGCTTTTAAGTTTAGTTTAAATATCTCCTTGTTTCTTTTAAATGTTTGTGGCTAATACTATGTATGCTTTTGTTCACGTTCAAAGAAGGTTGTATGTTTTGACATACGTTTTTCTTTTTAAGGTTGCATTTTGGACATTTGCATTTGTCCTCTCTCATCCCAATATCCACAGGACCATTGTGGAAGGCATATCATCTGTGTTTGGCACAGCAGGTACTAAAACTGAATTAAATTGCATTATTGAAGAGATATCTAATAATGTGTGCTTGTCACACATTATGGACAAAGTTAAATGCCCATAATTTAATAGAATTTCAGAGTAGTCCAAATTGAACATAATTTGTTATGTGCTTCAGGATATAAATTGATCAGGTAAGATCCTAGAATTTAATTACTGTCAAGGATTTTAGAAGTCACCTGGACCAACTCCCTAATTTTCCAAATGATGAAACAGAGATCGTGACTTGCCTAAATTCCCTATTTAAACATAAGTGTATAATGCACAGGGTTTTTCTTCTGATCTCTTAGCCCCTTGCCTCAATTGAACTACAAGTCATAGTTTTGGAATTCAGGGTTTTCCAGATTTTATAAAAGTAATGTGGTGCATATTCCATGTATTGCTTAACAGTATTAATGGGATATGGATGTTAGGTAAGGCTACACCACCAAAGGAATTATTTTCAAAGTTACAGTTTTTAGAGGTTTAGTGGGTTAGAACTGCAGGTAGAGATTGCTACCTTGCCCTTTTTGGTCCAGATTTGGGCTCATCAGTTATCATCAGTTTTAAAAAGCAGAAATAAGCTTGAATGGAGAAGATTCCACTAGTTTATTCAGCATAAATTGACCTGTTTGGGAGTAGATTTTTTTTTTTTTAAGAACCCTCTAATATGTCAAATTATATATTCTGATGTAAAAAAAGAATAAATGACTTGGTTTTCTTGGAAGAACACAGTATAATAGTAAAGACAAAAGACTGTGATGCCAATGAACAATTATCCCTCCTTTCCTTCGTGATTGCTGAACGTATTTTATTGGATTTTTCAATTTATTTTGACTGCTTCTTATTGAGTTAAACCAAAAATCAAATTGGCTTGGCCAACATGGATATTGAAGCCATACTGTCTCTGAGCCTTGAGTGTCAATCACCAGATGCTAGGTCGTATTTCACAGAAATGGTGAGCATTAGAATCATTGAGTACCAACAGTGCTAACAAGTTAGATTCTGGAGATACACTGGTGGATGTAAGAGAAGATGACTTGCCTATATGGAGCTTATGTCTACAAAGCTAATGGAAATGTGCCTGCCTGCGTGTCTACAAATGACAAAGGGAATGTGTTCTTGATCATCACATGCTCTATCTTACCAGAGTCTGCTCCTGACATAGCGTTCTCCAAATTCCTGGTCTTTAAGAAATGAAAAGGTAGAGATGGGGATGGTTGGGATAATATGGGGAGCCTATCTGACCCAAAGGCCACAACAGAAGGCTTACATTAATTGAAATTTCTACTGTGCTTGAATGTTGAACTCTTGAGCACAGTTCTAGTGGAGAAAGACAAAACGTTTCCCCTTTTTCTATATTCTTGTTTATTTTTAGAACCTATTGTTCTCCTCTGACAGAAAAATTCTCCTTCAAGTAGTAGCACCGGTGTACTAGCTATACCATATCAGTGCTTTCAGTTTATAAAAGATCAAACGTTTTTGCCATGCTTATACAGAAACAGTTCAGATCAATTCAAGCATAAGATGTAGCAGCTCAAGAATTTAGATATTGTGAGTGAATGCCACAGATCTTTGGAGGTTGATATCAAGGGAGATTACCATGTGCCCATACAAAGGATCCTGTCAAAGGAAGGACATTAAAGTGCATGAAATAAGAATCAGACTGAGTATGGCATTTCTCCCATTCTTTTGCTCTTTTCTTTTCTTTTTTTTTTTTTTTAAAGTTAATTTATTTGGCTGCACCAGGTCTTAGTTCTAGCATGCAGGATCTAGTTCCCTGACCAGGGATTGAACCTGGGCCCTCTGCATTGGGAGCGTGAAGTCTTAACAACTGGACCACCAGGGACGTCCCTATTATGCTCTTTTCTGTTACAAGATTACCTTTTCCTTCTTTGAAGATGTTTTTAGTGAACTTCTAACTCAGCATCTCTCTAGCCTCAAAACTCACCTCTAGAGCCCATCCCGGACACTTTGCCCAACTTCCTTATAAAATAAGTCTGAGGGTAAAAGCTGCTGTTGAATACTTGGTCTTTTGTATCTGGCTTCTTTCACTTAGTATAATGTTATATTTTGTATGTTGATGTTTTAAGTTAGTTGATTTTCAGATGTTGAACCCCCTTGCATTCCTGAGATAAATTTTTAGTTATGGTGTATAATTCATATAAAACATATGACTTTATATATGTTGCTGGATTCAGTTTGTTAGTACTTTGTTGAGGAATTTTCCATTACATTAATAAGATATATTGATTTATAGTTTTCTTTCTTGTGATATCTTTGTCTGGTTTTGGTATCAGAATAATTTTGACTTTATAGAATGACTTCAGAAGTATTTCCCTCCTCTTTTATTTTTTGGAAGAGTTTGTGAAGGATTGATGTTAATTCTTCTGTAACTATATGGTAGAATTCACCAGTGAAGTGATCTGGTCCAGAAATTTTCTCTTTTGAGAAGTTTTTGATTAATTCAATGTCTCCACTTGTTACAGGTCCGTCTAGATTATCTATTTCTTCTTTTTTAAAATTGAGATATAATTGACATGCAATAGCCTATTAGTTTTTGATGTACAACATAATGATTTGATATATGTATATATTGTGAAATGGTTACCACAATAAATTTAGTTAACATCCATCACCACACATAGTTACAATTTTTTTCTTGTGATGAGAACTTTTAAGATCTACTATCTTACCAACTTTCAAATATATAATACAGTATTATTAACTATAGTCACAATGCTGTACATTACATCACCAGAAAAATATGGAATGCTTCACAAATTTTAGTGTCATCCTTGCACAGGGGCCATGTTAATCTTCCCTGTATCTTTGCAATTTTAGTATGTGTGCTGCTGAAGTGAGAACTATATATTTCTTCTTGAGTCAGTTTTGGAGTTTGTGTCTTTTTAGGAGTTTATCCATTTCATATAGGTTATTTAATGTGTTGGCATACAACTGTTCCTAGTTTTCCCCATAATCTTCTTTATTTCTATAAGCTCACTAGGAAAACATCTCCCTCATTCTTAATTTTAGTAATTTATGTCCTCTTTCTTTTTCTCTTAGTCAGTGTAGCTAACAGGTTATCAATTTTGTTTTCAAAGAACTAACTGTTGATTTTATTGATTTGTTTGATCTTATTTTTTCTATTGATTTTCTGTTCTCTATTTCATTTATTTCTGTTCCAATCTTTATTATTTATAATTTCTATCTCCTTATCAATATTCTCTATTTAGTTCTTTAGACATGATTACTTACTTGAATATATTTAAAATATCTGATTTATAAGTGTTTCTTTAGTAAATCCAATATCTGAGTTTCTTCAGGGATAGTTTCTATTGAGTGCCTTTTCCCTGTGTGGTCTATAAGTTCTTGTTGCATGTCATATTTCATATTTTTTGTCATGTGTGTTACAGTTTTTGAATTTTGTCCAATTTAAAGCTGGACATTTAAAATAATATAATGTGGTAATTCTGGAAATCAGATTCTCCTCTCTGCTCAGGGTTTCTTATTATTGCTGCTTGTTGTTCTTGCTTGTTTGTTTGTTTACATAAGTAAATTCCAAAAATATTTGATGTTGATAAATGCTATGTGAAAAAGAAAACAGAGCAGATTAGGGAGGATCAAGGGTGCCAGAAATGGGGGGAAAGTGGTAGATTTAAATAGTTGGATCAGAGTTGGCCTTCCTGGAAATGTGATATTGAGCAAGGACTTGAAGATGGTTAGGCATTAGAAAACACATATCTAGAGGAAGAGCTGGTTTGAATTAGAGACTGCAGGTGTGGCCTCACTGTGTTCTCACAAAATTCTCACAGGCATTAACATTTGAGTCCTATTTAGGTTGTGTTTTCAAGCAATTTTCTTTTCTAATTTAGGATTCCCACTGTGAGTATCTGCCCACCTGCAGAAGGTCATTCGAACTTAAAAACAAACAAAAATAAATAAAAATGCATTTAAATTTTTAAACTGGTTGCATTTGGCCCTTTTCACCTTCTTGTGTTAATTTAGGGTAGCATATACAGCACACTTGTTTTTTTGTGTGTTGTTTTTTTTTTGCATGTGTGTATTGTTTTTGTTTTTTAGTGGCCATTCAGTTTTATTGCATATTTATTTAAGGGAAAAATTCGTACATTTTTTTCTGTTAATTTACAAGGAATCAGGTTAGTTAACAGAAATGCACCTGCAAAGAAACAATTCCTATCTTACATAAAATCATGATTTGTGGATCATAAAAGACACACTACAAAATTTTCACTGGATAAAAGTCAGAAATTTGATTCATGACTTTCAATCCTGTCACTCACTAATTGTGTGATTTTGGATAAAAGAGAAGGTTTACTCAGAGCCAAGCAATAACGTTTCTTGACACCACTGTGTTCTGATTTAGCAGGAATCCTGCCTGGGGACAGACCAACACTGTCAAGTGACCAGATGCTATTACCTGGTGACACTAACTTAATGGCTACACTCACCATGCACTGGTGAGAAAAGATTTCGTCTCTGCTCATAATTATAAACAAGCATAAAAACTAGCAGAGTGATAAATGAGGCTCAGATCCTATGATGATGTTCTAGGCAAATTCCATGTTGTTTGCATTATTTTAATTAGTTCATCAGTTTTACTTCGTTGCATTTAAACATTTTCATTTATTCTTGAAATCTTCTCTGTAGTCATCTCTTACCCGTGTTATAACGTATTCAACTTTTATCCGCTTGGTTGTGTCCCAGTACCATCTAGATTACCCATTGCAACATCCTTGGAGGATTCCATCACTGCATAGGAAAGACCTGAGTCCCTCCAGCTAACTTAAGAAGCTCACTCTTGTTACCCCTCTGCAGCCTTCCAGGGCTCAATGGCTGGTAGCCACAGTTGTGTCTGTGATAGAGTCTTGGTCCTTATGCCACATATCGACCAAAATGTTGAAGAAAGAGATCAGTAGCAGAGCCAAGGCCACTATAATGGAGAAAAGTTATTTTATTTTTAAAACTTCTCTCC